AAAATATCGCCCTGTCACCAACTGGCAATTTTTGCTACCCATCAGAACCGATTCAGCCAAAAAATATCGACCGCAGTTGACTGGGAGGTCATGTGGAAGGGCCTTGGACGGCACGTCTGGGCCACCTTCGACGGAATGCAGTTACGCGCGGTGGTTGGTCGTATGAGCTCTTCGTCCTGTCCGTAAAAAAGGTGTGATGCTATGCATATATTTTGTACGAGGTATAATAAATGTGTGGATGACCGCGAGAAATGTTCTGGTGCTGGGTGGAACGGATGCTGCCCGCGTCAAGTGCGCCAGTACGCATCAAAATCCCAGCACGAAAACGCCGATTACTATCCTCCACTGGCATTTGCGCAGTAACCGCGAACTGCAAACATGGTCGACAACACACCGTTCCAGCCGGCTGCCTTGTTTCGACACGACATGGGTTATAGCATAAACAAAACCTGGAAGGCCTGTCGGAGAGAGGGGGGGGGGCACTCCCCATGTCCGCCCTCCGCCCGCACCGGCCGTGGATCACTATGCAGTATTCCGACAAAAACTTCGCTGTCAGAAATCAGATCCATAGAGAAACGTTTCAGGTGTCAGAACGCACACGATGAATAGCCATAGGATATGGAAACATTCGGCGTGATTGTACGTTCCAGAGAGATATCCCCAGAAATTACTTGGGGAGGGGGGTGAATCGCCCTTCCCCGTGGCAGAGTGATGGTTTAAGTATATAGCTGTAGATCTATATCAAAGTATACGATCCTACGTACGACATGGACGTGCAGAAGTGCCTCTATGGGTACTTCCTTTGCGGCATGACTGGAGGAGAACAAAAAGGGATGATAAGCTATGGCTTGAAGCGTTTGCCACTTTAAAGCTGTGTGTCGCAATAAAACGATGCTGTTGCATTATTATCAATTTAGAGCCAGACTTCTAACACTATTTTGCGACTGAAAGCCGTTCTTCAGCAAAGGCTCCTCTGCATATGGCGTGAAACCAGTCACATTTAAAAAACGGTACGCGAAGTGAAAAAGTGAAAATATATGTCGTCATTTGCCACCGTCGAGCGGTTGCCCTAATTTCATTTGTCGTATGCCTTAAATTCGTCATATGCGCGCACAATCCAGACCCATTAAGAATAAACAACGCTATATTTTTCGTGCACCATTCGGCAGGGGGGGGGGGGCAATCAGAAGGCTCTTTACAAAACCGCTTGGGGTCTTCGCATAGTTCATTCATAGTGTTATCTGCCACAGTCGATGCTGATCTCTATGGTAACAAGAGGGGGGGAGGGGCCTAGGTCAAACCGCCGCCGAACATCCGTGACAATCGTTTTTCTCAATCCTAAGCGACTTCAGGCGTTTTATGTACAATCCCTCTTGACATGGCTTTTATTTACATTTGTATCACGTGATCTACGCTATGAACATTTGTTGGACATTATAGAGCCCTTTAAAGTTATAGTGGTTGCCCAGAGCAGCCCCGTGGAATACTGCACATGCACAAGACAGCACTGATTGCCTTTTTCCTCGCCGAATAACCAGGAGAGCAGAAAAAGAGATGCATACACATTTCGTCATGAATTCAGCTTTATCAGATAGCGCGGCTGAGGCTAAAACCCACGGAGGTACGGATCCCACAACCTTTTTAGAACTCAGTCATAGGGCACAGCACCATCCAAGTAGGAGAATTAGTGAGCCCATTCCCATAAAAAGTGCGCGACCAGACCTAAATGCGCAGGGCTCATCATGACCGATTATGCGAATATGATTAGTGCCTCAATGCGCGATGCGTGCTGGCTTGGTATTGTTTGAAACATATGAGTGATGCGTGATGTCAGTATTAAAAAAACAAAAACACTGCGTCCCTTAAGATCACCAAGGTATGGATATTTGTGTGCGAACACATTACTCACATTGCAACGTTACACGACAACGTGTGGATCCTTTCAACGATATTTTACCGCTGAAGGGTATTGTCATTCAAACATCTCATACGACTTTTCCAATAAACCTTTCCACCCAGAAGATGTTTGCTACGATATTTTCCCGATGAATGTTCTCTCTCACAACCTGCATCTTTTTTAGCTTTTTGTGTGATTGGCTTATTTGCGCGACGAGCTCTACAGCATACCTAGGTTGTTCTACTGTACTGAGGCATACAAACCATACCTCGAGAAAAATTGCTGTGGGATCTTTCTCCATGCGTACTTTTGATCTCAACAGAATTATTGGCGCAGGCACCGCGTGACATCCGGGGAGTGTTGCCTCTGCCTGGGGATAAAACCGCGTATAGAAAAGGAAGTGTGAAAACTGTTTGCAAGTTACAAGTTGGCATGCGTGAAGTCTGTCGAGATAAGCTGCGTACGGTATCAGTTTCGCAATGTGAAAACATCCTTACATAAAAGCCTTGCTTGGCAAAACAGAAGACTGAAGGATGTCAGCACGGAATGATGGGGATGCACGAACATTTGTCCTCAAATGTTTTTCTTCGATAAAGTTAACTTCGCAATAGAGCGCACACCAAGATGGAATTCACATGTCTGATGTGTCAATGATCATGTTCAGGTCAAACGGTCACCGGAGATGCAATGGGCCCGGAGGAAATACAGACGCCATCGCCGACAACTGAAAAAGAGCATTTTAACTCGCAGCAGTACATGCTATGACTGCATGTCACATCCATGCATCCTGGTAACGCCAAAAGATCGCGTTATTCGAGCTTCCATGAAGCCCCTAGCGGGGCCGGACCAGGAAGGTAAAAGAGCCTGCTACAGCTCAAAACTATAACACAGCATGGATAGCGTGCTAAAGCATATGAACGCCTGCTTCGTGCTTCGAAAAATAGGATCGGCCGGAAACTGAAAGTTATTGTATAACGGTGAAGGAAGATTTAACGGTGAAGAAAGATGCAACGGTGAAGGTGAAGGATGAAGAATACAGCTTCATGTTTAATTGTGCGAAACTAAGTTCAGAAACTCACAGTTCTTCGTCCTTGCCAAATTCATCCTTGTACCTAAATGATGTTCTGGCAAACTTTTTTGTTTTGCTCTTAGGGTTTCTAGTATAATTTTGTTTGAGGCCGACGAATATTTCCCAATCTATAATTTTTCCACGAAACACCGGAAAATTATAATAACCCGGCTTCGTTCTATGGCAGGAGATGAATGCGTCCTTCCAACACAGCATTCAGGCAATGTCGGAGAGATGGCGTGAATAATTTAATAATTGGGTGATCACTTTTTCTGATGCGTCATCATAGGAGTGCTTTGAATGCAAACAATGAATGCTGCACCACTGATGTTTAGGAACTTTTACGCATGCATTTTTATCAAGAAAGTCTGTGATGCCAGCAATGACGTGCTTTAGATTGCTTAAGACAAATTTTGCGTTCTACTTAATGCATGTGAACCCATTGTGTAGGTCGTTTTGCCTCGCCTCCAGCCTTTGCCATAACAAATATTTTGCAGACGTTCTTAACCATGCAAACATTTGCTTACGAGGTCTTTGGTAATAGCTTTTTTGCACGTTCTTTTACCCTACACATTTCACATTATGCGTATTACGCACATTTGTTGCCTAAAAACTGTGTATCAATTTGATTAAAACGCAGGTCCTTTCTCCAAGAGCACTTTTGCCTTACCATCTTTGTCTTGGTGGTGATTGATAGCAGGTTTCCAACGTTAGTGCTGCTTGCAAAAGCAGCACACGACTCGCAATCAGTGCTTGCTAGCTCATACTGTTGCGGCTTAATTTAAAGCCACTGCAACTAAGTTGTGATTTTAACCTGGTGCTGAGCGGCAATACCCTACATGCTACCCCATACTACATGCAACCCTACATACATGCTATTGAGCATGTGGATTACCTCATAAATAAGGCATGTTCCTTGCACCGAACCCCGGGCAGGCAGAGCCGTTCGCTGACAGCACACCGGCAACGTCGGCAGTTCACCAGTCCAGACCCGCCCTCCCATCCATTGCGTCCGGCTGTGCCTGGTGCCGCCG